TCCCAAATCAGTCTCGGGTTTCAATGCTTTCACTTTTGTGTCCAACTCTTTGGCGATTGCAATGGCTTTAGTCAACCCATTTCTGAGCGCCTCTTTCCCTGTCTTCGCCAAAGTGTCGATCGCTTTCCTCGTCTCGTCTAAAATGTCTGACACTTCCTTCAAGAGGTGCTCTTTAATCGGGTCGTCGACTGACTCTCTTATTGTCATCGCTTCCGATGCTATCAATTGTATAAAAATATTATTAATTTCTCTTATAAATGATTAAAATATATGAGACATACCGTAGAGAGCAGTGAAGAAAAGGACACCAAATACTAAAAATTTCATTTTTACTTATTTTCTAATACAAATCAATTGTTTCAATAAAATAATACTTTATTTAACTTTGAATTTGTTGTCAAATTCTTGTGTGAATTCTGTGTTAAGAATACAACCCTTTTTATACCAATAGAGATATCAAATATTTAATGCTTGCATTTATTTGAATTATCGATGAATTCAAAGTCCAATGAGTTCTCATATGCTTTTTATAACATTATAATCCATATTATCGACTGAAACAAAGTCTAAACAATGTATTTTTAATCTCAACATTTCTGGTACCTGTGTTTGTAATAATCATTACATTACATAATTGAAACAATTTATATAATACATGTAAAATACGAGTCGGATTAAAAGTTAATACAATGCTTTTTAACCTCAAAGCAGACTTTGGTTTAACTAACTTTAAGAATTTTTAAAGAAATGTTTATCATTATTAATAAATTCAATGTTCATTAAAAACTCATGGTCTTTATATATATTATAAAGTCTTTACATTTAAAACAACTTTATTGTTGAATCAATAAGAACTTTTAGGTAATTTATGAATTTACTATTTAAATAGTTAGTTATGTAAACCATAATTGGTTTTATTGATTTATATGAAATTATAATACAATTTTAACATAAATGCACTTACTTGTTAGATAATAAGAAATATTTTACTAATTAAGAAAAGTATACAATATTATAATTTAATTTTACCTTAATCATAAATATTTCCATATTATCTCAGTCAAAAGTATTATTAATGAAATAAGTTGGATTATAAGAAATGGATAGATTAATAACCAAAAATATGTATTACTATTAGTCATAAGCATATTATCTCTATGGAGTGACCAATTGTTTATCTGAAGCCACCAGTGGTTAAAAAGCCCCGACTCTTTCATCAGAACCAATCTAATTTTAAAAAATAGTATTTTATATTAATTAACAATTTTACATTAATAATATAATTCTTTGAATTGATTATTATATTACTTACATTAAATTAAACTGAGTTTTGTATTCAAAATGCTTTCCAAAACCAATGGAAACTAAATCAAAGTAAAACTCGGAATCATGTGATTGTTGGGGCAAATAATATGAATGAATGGCATAATCGCGGGATATGTAATGGAGGTAATCTCGGACAGCGATCAACACATTGGGTTGAGTGCCGTTTATAATTTGATCCATACCTTCCGCCAAATTGTTTACCAAATGCATTGATTTAACAATACTTATAATATTAATTGCGGTTAACTTCTATTGTAAAAATAAACAGATTTTGATTTATTATTATTGTATAAAATTTATACTATAAATGATTAAATATAAAATGATTACTTTTAATAAGTTATGTGTATTTGTTCCACGCATAACATTAACATAAACATGTCCGGCAGATTGAGCATGATCAAGTTGTTCAATTGTATCAATCTGAAACATTTTCCGGTCAACCAATTGTACAGAATATGTTAATTGAAAGTATAGTAATGTTAATAGATATGAAAATAATAGCCAAATGGATAACGAGATCCTAAACGATGTCTTATTAGGCAATCTCTTGGGTAATGTCTGTCTCATTATTATCTGAAACAATGACCAAAATATATAAAAGCGCCTAAACTTTGGATTACTTTTCGATGAAATTGACATCAAAGCTGACAATAAGATTAGGGATAATACAGAAAAGAGCCAAAAAGTAAAATCAAAATTTTGGACATATAATCGGGTGTTTGGCCTAAAATGAGGCGACGATGTAATAAATGAAATGCTTGTGAATGTATGCGGATATGAAAAGTCAATTACTTTTGTCCGCTCGGCTGTCAATGAAAGGTCCGATAGACCGATGTGTGCACTCTATCACAAATTCAGTCAAAATTATGATTATTTAGTATAAGAAATAATGAAACTTTGTGCTTACATTAGTAGCCAGCGCTCCCACAATACCAGACCAACAATTATTGGTCTCCAAAATACCCCAATTTTGATTATAATCAACCAAAATGTATGTAAAATTCAGAATTGCAGCCATTGTATTTAGCATTTGAACTTCTGTGCCCCTGTTAGCAATTAATTGACCATTGTGTTTGGCAAACTCAAAAAATGGTGCTTGCTGTTATAAATATTAATATTATGTTATATTAATTTGATAGTAAAAATTACACTTTAAAAATAACCACTATTAAAATATAAAATTGGCAAATGTACCTGATTTGCAGCAATTATTAATTGGGTTTGATTTAGATTTAACATTATATTGTATTTATACACAAAATGAAAGCTATTTTACTATTATAACTAAACATTTTTAAAATGAAAATTGGTAATTTATAATAAATGTTGAATTAATACAACAAATGAATAAATTATTTTATTGTACAGTTCTTTATGATTAATGAACGGAAATACAAAAAATATACTTAAATGCAATACAAATAGGAAATATATTTCTTTAATTCAATAGTTATAATATATTGATCATGTCATCTATGTCAGATAATAATGTGCATACATTATAATTTATGATTGTATCTATTCATTGATTGATCGGTTCATATCTATTGTAATATATAATAATAATAATAACAATATTTATTGAATTTAAGGACTCCCCTTAAACGAATTATTTAAATAAATTAGTTTCTTATTGAAAAAGTTACAAATAATTAGATAATTAACAATAATTATAATTACGTATAACTCTTAATTTTTAGTAAAGTATATTAATAATGTTTGTAAAATTGTATATATTTATTGATATAATGTATAATTCCTTTCCAAAGTCTATTGTGTATTAAAATTATGATCGAAATTGAAAGTTATTAAGTAATCCTTAAGTTATTTGGGAACTTGTGTGGACTTTATATGAGTTAATAATAACTGAAATATTGAACTCGTTTAGAGAATTATTCAATCAATGATAACCACTGATAGATATAATACAATAATTCAAATAATATATTATATAATAATTACTTCAAACATTACATAATTTATGCCACAAAGATATGTAGGATTTAGATTACATCTTATGTTTAGACTTTGGCTCATTGATAATTAATACAATGTGTAAATTGTTATATTTAAAATTGTTAATAAATTTAAAACTTTTTTTAAATTTATTAATTAAATAAAAATTTGTAAAAACTCACAATAATAAAGACGATCAAATTTATACAATATAAAACAAATGTCATTTAGGGTATTTTAATAATTCATGGTCATTTATATTTACCGGTAGTAATAATAAGATCTATGCAATATCTATAAATACCTAAAGTCTAGATTCTAGACATTTGGTGCACTAAAAGTGCAAACAATGCTTAATTTAAGACAGAAATTATATTATCAATTTGTGGTACAGATTATACGTGTCTTTCATTATTATTTTTATACATGAAGTTTGAGCTCTAATTGGACTTTGAAATCATCGATATATCAATGAAGTGAAAAGGCATTAAACAATAGCTGATTTAAATGGTATAAAAAGGGTTGTATTCTTAACACAGAATTCACACAAGAATTTGAAAACAAACTCAAAGTTAAATAAAATATTATTTTATTGAAACAATTGATTTGTTTTAGAAAATAAGTAAAAATGAAATTTTTAGTATTTGGTGTCCTTTTCGTCACTGCTCTCTACGGTATGTCTCATATATTTTAATCATTTATAGCATAAATTAATAATATTTTCATACAATTAATAGCATCGGAAGCGATGACAATAAGAGAGTCCAACTCCGACCCGATTAAAGAGCACCTCTTGAAGGAAGTGTCAGACATTTTAGACGAGACGAAGAAAGCGATCGACACTTTGGCGAAGACAGGGAAAGAGGCGCTCAGAAATGGGTTGACTAAAGCCATTGCAATCGCCAAAGTATTCATTCATATTATTTGCCCCAACAATCACATGATTCCGAGTTTTACTTTGATTTAGTTTCCATTGGTTTTGGAAAGCATTTTGAATACAAAACTCAGTTTAATTTAATGTAAGTAATATAATAATCCAATTCAAAGAATTATATTATTAATGTAAAATTGTTAATTAATATAAAATACTATTTCTAAAAATTAGATTGGTTCTGATGAAAGAGTCGGGGCTTTTTAACCACTGGTGGCTTCAGATAAACAATTGGTCACTCCATAGAGATAATATGCTTATGACTAATACTAATACATATTTTTGGTTATTAATCTATCCATTTCTTATAATCCAACTTATTTCATTAACGATACTATTGGTTGAGATAATATAGAAATATTTATGATTTAGGTAGACAGTATTGTAAATTAAGTTACAATACTGTCTACTTTTATTAACTAATAAAATATTTCGTATAAAATAGCTACAGGTTATAATTGATTTAACAATAGAATTGTTTTAGATGTATAAAATATTAAAGACCATGAGCTTAAAATGAACATTAAATTTAGTAATAATGATAAACAATTCTTTAAAAATTCTTAACATCAGTTAAACCAAAGTCTGCTTTAAGGTTAAAGAGCAATGTATTAAATTTTAATCCAACTCATATTTTAACCTGTTTAATATTTAAGAAAAATGTTTCAATTATGTAATGTATTATCTAGTCATTCAACAAAACTCCGCCACTCTGTTTTTCTTATTACTCCTAAACGAAATGAGCTAGATCAAATCTGTAAAGTGCATAATGATGGTCCATATA